CGACGATAAGTCGTTCAATTCTTGTCTATGTCGCTTTCTACCATATATTATTTCACAATCCTCGTCATTGGATTCTCTGCGGCGGCGACAGCTGGGGCGAGGCGGGTTGTTACCCTTATCCGTGTTAATATCATCACCTGGTGCCGGTGTCCACGGATTAGTTGACTCCGATGTTGTGTCTCTTCTGGATAACCAGTCCATCTTTCTTCGGAGTTCCTCTAGAAGGTTAAAGTACCATTCTTCATCTCTATTTAAAATTATTGACTCTGATGGGGAGTTGCTCCTACGTCGCCGTCGTCGACGATAAGTCGTTCAACTCTTGTTTATGTCGCATTTTGCAATCCTCGTCATCAGATTCTCTGCGGCGACGACAGCTGGGGCGAGGCGGGTTGTTACCCTTATCCGTGTTAATATCATCACCTGGTGCCGGTGTCCACGGATTAGTCGACTCTGATGTTGTATCTCTTCTGGATAACCAGTCCATCTTTCTTCGGAGTTCCTCTAGAAGGTTAAAGTACCATTCTTTATCTCTATTGAAACGATGAAACTGTACATAGCATAAGGAACATTATACCTATCAACTTAAGAACACATAAATTAGGTAATTCTCGAGAATGCGCGAGGAATTCCAAGGGAGACGCGCGTTTAAATTTGCCTCGTACTTATAAAGTGGATATAAAGTTCATTATATGCTATATTCAGTTTCGTTGCAAAAACTCACTTCCATTTTATTCCACTTAGCCTTCTACAGACTCCGGTACATTCTGCAAAGTATCTTCTTGTTCTGGTTTTACTTCATCATCTGAATGTTATTCTTCATGTTGTTCGTTTTGATTTACTCTCCCGGAGAGTGCGTCACGCATTCTTTCCATCTTGCACTCATCGTCGCATTTGGTCGTTAACGCTCGGCAAATAAAATAAAACAAAATTAGCTTGAAACAAAGGTGACTACTTTGTTAATTCTGTTCAAGAGTAGCACGACTGCTGCGAGTGGACTTTATTGTGGAAACTACCAATTTTATAATTTAGGTATATATTAGGCATCTAACTAGTTATATATGTATATTATTTGTAAAAGTACATTCGGGTCCGAGAAAACACTCTGAAACATTTTCATAAAATGACATCAGTTATAAAAGTTGAGGAATCTGTCAAGCGTTGCTATTTCTTACATGACAAATAATACTACATTATTTTTGATCGACTGCAGAAAACAGTATGTGACTTTGTGTGGAACAACTTACCTAACCATACTTTCTGTAACGTTAAAAGTGACACAGACTTCTTCTATAATGTCTTTCACCTTCGTAGCATCTAGGCATTGTTTGGCTGCCTTATTTTGATGGGCTGGTGCTTTTTCTCTGTTCAAGAATGTGATGCCAGCTCTCTGTAAATATGTTGTCCCTTCTGGATAACTGGTCCATCTTTCGTCGGAATTCCTCTCGAAGGTTACAGTACCATTCTTTTTCTTTGTTTATTTATTCCGATGGGGAGTTACTTCTACGTCGCCGTCGTCGACGATAAGTCGTTCAATTCTTGTCTATGTCGCTTTCTACCATATATTATTTCACAATCCTCGTCATTGGATTCTCTGCGGCGGCGACAGCTGGGGCGAGGCGGGTTGTTACCCTTATCCGTGTTAATATCATCACCTGGTGCCGGTGTCCACGGATTAGTTGACTCCGATGTTGTGTCTCTTCTGGATAACCAGTCCATCTTTCTTCAGAGTTCCTCTAGAAGGTTAAAGTACCATTCTTTATCTCTATTTAAAATTATTGATTCCGATGGGGAGTTGCTCCTACGTCGCCGTCGTCGACGATAAGTCGTTCAACTCTTGTTTATGTCGCATTTCACAATCCTCGTCATCAGATTCTCTGCGGCGACGACAGCTGGGGCGAGGCGGGTTGTTACCCTTATCCGTGTTAATATCATCACCTGGTGCCGGTGTCCACGGATTAGTCGACTCTGATGTTGTATCTCTTCTGGATAACCAGTCCATCTTTCTTCGGAGTTCCTCTAGAAGGTTAAAGTACCATTCTTTATCTCTATTGAAACGATGAAACTGTACATAGCATAAGGAACATTATACCTATCAACTTAAGAACACATAAATTAGGTAATTCTCGAGAATGCGCGAGGAATTCCAAGGGAGACGCGCGTTTAAATTTGCCTCGTACTTATAAAGTGGATATAAAGTTCATTATATGCTATATTCAGTTTCGTTGCAAAAACTCACTTCCATTTTATTCCACTTAGCCTTCTACAGACTCCGGTACATTCTGCAAAGTATCTTCTTGTTCTGGTTTTACTTCATCATCTGAATGTTATTCTTCATGTTGTTCGTTTTGATTTACTCTCCCGGAGAGTGCGTCACGCATTCTTTCCATCTTGCACTCATCGTCGCATTTGGTCGTTAACGCTCGGCAAATAAAATAAAACAAAATTAGCTTGAAACAAAGGTGACTACCTTGTTAATTCTGTTCAAGAGTAGCACGACTGCTGCGAGTGGACTTTATTGTGGAAACTACCAATTTTATAATTTAGGTATATATTAGGCATCTAACTAGTTATATATGTATATTATTTGTAAAAGTACATTCGGGTCCGAGAAAACACTCTGAAACATTTTCATAAAATGACATCAGTTATAAAAGTTGAGGAATCTGTCAAGCGTTGCTATTTCTTACATGACAAATAATACTACATTATTTTTGATCGACTGCAGAAAACAGTATGTGACTTTGTGTGGAACAACTTACCTAACCATACTTTCTGTAACGTTAAAAGTGACACAGACTTCTTCTATAATATCTTTCACCTTCGTAGCATCTAGGCATTGTTTGGCTGCCTTATTTTGATGGGCTGGTGCTTTTTCTCTGTTCAAGAATGTGATGCCAGCTCTCTGTAAATATGTTGTCCCTTCTGGATAACTGGTCCATCTTTCGTCGGAATTCCTCTCGAAGGTTACAGTACCATTCTTTTTCTTTGTTTATTTATTCCGATGGGGAGTTACTTCTACGTCGCCGTCGTCGACGATAAGTCGTTCAATTCTTGTCTATGTCGCTTTCTACCATATATTATTTCACAATCCTCGTCATTGGATTCTCTGCGGCGGCGACAGCTGGGGCGAGGCGGGTTGTTACCCTTATCCGTGTTAATATCATCACCTGGTGCCGGTGTCCACGGATTAGTTGACTCCGATGTTGTGTCTCTTCTGGATAACCAGTCCATCTTTCTTCGGAGTTCCTCTAGAAGGTTAAAGTACCATTCTTCATCTCTATTTAAAATTATTGACTCTGATGGGGAGTTGCTCCTACGTCGCCGTCGTCGACGATAAGTCGTTCAACTCTTGTTTATTTCGCATTTTGCAATCCTCGTCATTGGATTCTCTGCGGCGGCGACAGCTGGGGCGAGGCGGGTTGTTGCCTCTATCCTTGTTAATAGCGTCACCCGGTGCCGGTGTCCCCGGTTTAGTTGACTCTGATTTTAGAAGGTTACAGTACCGTTCTTTTTCTCTATTTTAAATTATTGACTCTGATGGGGAGTTGCTCCTACGTCGCCGTCGTCGACGATAAGTCGTTCAATTCTTGTTTATGTCGCTTTCTACCATATACTATTTCACAATCCTCGTCATCGGATTCTCTGCGGCGGCGAAAGCTAGGGGAGGCCGGTTGTTGCCCCTATCCTTGTTAATATCGTCATCCGGTGCGGGTGTCCCCGGATTACTTGACTCTCTGAATATCCTGATCTTTTCACGGAGTTTCTCTAGAATGTTACAGTACCGTTCTTTTTGTTTATTTAAAATGATTAACTCCGATGGGGAGTTGATTCTCTGCGGCGGCGACAGCTGGGGGAGGCCGGTTGTTACCCCTATCCATGTTAATACCGTCACCCGATGCCGGTGTCTCCGGATTCCTTGACTCTCTAAATATCCTGATCTTTTCACGGAGTTTCTCTAGAATGTTACAGTACCGTTCTCTGATTAACTCCGATGGGGAGTTGCTCCTACGTCGCCGTAGTCGATGAATGCGCATTTCGCTTTCTGAAATTTCCTGAAAATGTAGAGAAAGTATTAGGTACTTTTCGGTTGACCTGAGTATGCGTAATTATAAAAAGCAATTCATGAAAAATAAAATACTCAAACGTCAACCAACCTCCGAGTCTGCTGCGTCGGTATCGTCATCACAAGATGAATCACTCTCTAAAAAAAGATAGCCAGTCGTTTATTACATTTTTAAATAACTTTTCACATCATTCCTTCGTTGTTAACCGAATACCAGGAGGGAGAATGTATGTTAGTGCGCGGTTATCTAGCGATTGGCTGGACCGATTTTGATGTGGTTTTTATAAAACTGTGTGTTACATTTAAGAGAAGGTTTTAGTATTGGTACCCACTAATTAACCGACTTTTAAAAAAAAAGTAAATGTTCATCGATAAAAACAAAATTTCAAAATGAAGAGATTCTATCGGATTCGTATTGTTTGATTTGTCCAGTCTGTACCTTGAAAAACTATGGTTATATTCATTTTCGTTTTCGGGCGTATTTTTATTTTTCTAGAAAATTGTAAGGTATTTTACAATTTTGAAAGTACATTTGTAGTTAAAATGTGATATCTGTGGGGGGGAGTTGCTCCTACGTCGTCGTCGTCGACGATAAGTCGTTTAGTTCTTGTATGTGTCACTTTCTACCATATACTATTTCACAATCCTAGTCATCGGATTCTCTGCGGCGGCGACAGCTGGGGGAAGCCGGTTGTTGCCCCTATCCTTGTCAATATCGTCACCCGGTGCGGGTGTCCCCGGATTACTTGACCCTGATGTTGTTTTTCTTCTGGATAACCTGTCCATCTTTCTTTGGAATTCCTCTAGAAGGTTACAGTACCATTATTTTTCTCTATTTATTGATTCCGATGGGGAGTTGCTCCAATGGCGCCGTCGTCGACGATAAGTCGTTCAGTTTTTGTCTATGTCGCTTTTTACCATATCCTATATCACAATCCTAGTCATCAGATTCTCTGCGGCGGCGACAGCTGGGGCGAGGCAGGTTGTTGCCCCTATCCTTGTTAATATCGTCACCCGGTGCCGGTGTCTGTGATTTTGTTTTTCTTCTCGATAACCTGTCCATCTTTCTTCGAAATTCCTCTACAAGGTTACAGTACCGTTCTTTTTCTCTATTTATTGACTCCGATGGGGAGTTGCTCCTACGTCGCTGTCGTCGACGAATGCGCATTTCGTTTTCTGAAATTTCCTGAAAATATAGAGAAAGTATTAGGTACTTTTCGGTTGACCTGAGTATGCATAATTGCGTAATTGTGAAAAGCAATTTATGAAAAATATAACATTCAAACGTCAACCAACCTCCGAGTCTGCTGCGTCTGTATCGTCATCACTTGGTACCCAAGATGGATCACTCGGGGAGAAATCCGCATTGTCCTCTTCCACTATCCTTTTGGAACCTCTAACCTCAGAGTCTGCTGCGTCTGTATCGTCATCACTTGGTACCCAAGATGGATCACTCGGGGAGAAATCCGCATTGTCCTCTTCCACTATCCTTTTGGAACCTCTAACCTCAGAGTCTGCTGCGTCTGTATCGTCATCACTTGGTACCCAAGATGGATCACTCGGGGAGAAATCCGCATTGTCCTCTTCCACTATCCTTTTGGAACCTCTAACCTCAGAGTCTGCTGCGTCTGTATCGTCATCACTTGGTACCCAAGATGGATCACTCGGGGAGAAATCCGCATTGTCCTCTTCCACTATCCTTTTGGAACCTCTAACCTCAGAGTCTGCTGCGTCTGTATCGTCATCACTTGGTACCCAAGATGGATCACTCGGGGAGAAATCCGCATTGTCCTCTTCCACTATCCTTTTGGAACCTCTAACCTCAGAGTCTGCTGCGTCTGTATCGTCATCACTTGGTACCCAAGATGGATCACTCGGGGAGAAATCCGCATTGTCCTCTTCCACTATCCTTTTGGAACCTCTAACCTCAGAGTCTGCTGCGTCTGTATCGTCATCACTTGGTACCCAAGATGGATCACTCGGGGAGAAATCCGCATTGTCCTCTTCCACTATCCTTTTGGAACCTCTAACCTCAGAGTCTGCTGCGTCTGTATCGTCATCACTTGGTACCCAAGATGGATCACTCGGGGAGAAATCCGCATTGTCCTCTTCCACTATCCTTTTGGAACCTCTAACCTCAGAGTCTGCTGCGTCTGTATCGTCATCACTTGGTACCCAAGATGGATCACTCGGGGAGAAATCCGCATTGTCCTCTTCCACTATCCTTTTGGAACCTCTAACCTCAGAGTCTGCTGCGTCTGTATCGTCATCACTTGGTACCCAAGATGGATCACTCGGGGAGAAATCCGCATTGTCCTCTTCCACTATCCTTTTGGAACCTCTAACCTCAGAGTCTGCTGCGTCTGTATCGTCATCACTTGGTACCCAAGATGAATCACTCGGGGAGAAATCCGCATTGTCCTCTTCCACTATCCTGTTGGAACCTGCCACAAGAGAGTTGGACTTATTCATAACAGATCATAAACAAAAACATAGCCAGTCGATTTTACGTTATTAAATATTTTTTATACCATTTCTTCGTTATTAACCGAAAAAAGTAGGGTCTCAATTTGGCCTGTATATATGTTAGTGCGCGATTATCTAGCGTTTGGCTGAACCGATTTTGATGCGGTTTTCATAAAACTTGTGGCACTGACTTCTAACCTATCAATGGGTGGGTAACCTGTGAGTAGGTACGTATAACTAATAATGGTTATTTTTGAGTTTTAGTTTTTATCTTTTGTTTGTTTTTAGGTTTTGTTTTCGAAGTCGGTTTTTTAAACGCAGTTTTTTGTTTTTATTTTTATGCTTTTTAGTTTAGTCAAGGCTATATAGACCCAGTATACTACGCATATCCCACAAAGTTCTCATCATTACAAATTATTCAAGCTCAAACACCAAGTAAATGTTTAATAGTAGGTATTAATCATATAGGAGTTCCCTTAGCTATAGTACTACTTCATCATCAGGCTCCTAATGACAATAATAAATAAATTTAAGAGTAAATTAAAAAAATATCTGTTTAGCCCACTACTATAACTATATGTATTTAAAATTAATCATAACCATTTTCATAGTAAACTACTAATACTAAATAGTAATATAAATATAGAAGATCCAACAGTCAAACTATTTATATATAGTTTTGTTGGACATGACCTTAGTAAGAATCTGACACTCCCTCTACCCTCGCTCGGGCGGGAAATGTGGATGATTTTCCCCCTCCAAAAAATAAAGGTAAAATGTTGCCTATGTGTTAGTCCAGACCATATTCTACCTCTGTTCTAAATTACATCTCGGTAACTAGTTTAACTTAAGTTTAGTTTAATTTAACCAGACATTAGGAAACTGGCGAAAAATATAACTTGTAATTCATATACAAAGAAAATTAAATTAATGTAGACAATCTAGTTTCCTTATGGCATCGAGCTTTCCTTTCTTTATTGAATCAAAGAGTTTCCTTTTTCTTGTATAGAAGCACTATTTTTATGGATTGTCAGTATGCACATGTGAGCACCATGTTAGACTATAGGATTTCTATTTTTTTATTTTAGTAGAAAGAAAGAAAGAAAGAAGAGTTTGGAGTCTCTTATAGTAATGTTACAATTGAAAGTTTCATTATTGTTATTATTAGATATAATATTATATTCCACATTTATACACCAGAAATGGTCAAACATGTTGATACTATGCTCACTGCTCATCTGTACAACCTATAATGTACTTTGTATGGTGTATTATTATTTCACACGTGTTTTAGCAAATAAATTATCTTTGTCTTTGTCTTAGTTAAATAATATTTTGTTAATTTCATATCGTTTTTATTTTATTTTCAATAAATTTATCGGTATATTCATCGGGAGCTATCGATATCGTCAAGTCACTACGACAAAGGTAGATCCCGCCCAATCACGCAGTGACCAATTGTTTTAGTGTGAGTAAATCATAGGAGAATGTACGCTGTCGTTTAATGAATAAGGCTTATATTTGAATTACTGAGTTATCGATGCCACGTGTGTGCTCTTATTCGTAATATTGTTTTGTCATCTTCTTCTTTGTGGCTTCATCGGTTTTTCATACATTTTTGACTCCACACCATATCGCCTTCTTTAATATATCTATGGTATATACCATTCACGGGACCCCAAGGTCCCGGTCATTTGGGCGGCATCCGAGGGGCCGAAGCCAACTGCGCAGAGACCCTTTAGACAACTTTAATTTAAATGTAATGGACACACAAATCGGCGACTATCCCTGTATGCACTATGGAAATGCACACAAGGACAGGTCCCGGTTAGTGTAGAACTACTTATTGTAGATAATGGAAAAGAAAGGTAAGGCTATGGATGGGTTGATGTGGACTGGTAAATTGGGAACTATAGATGACTATGGCACCTACCGAAACAATGTAATTATCACACGTAAAAATGGCAGGCTGTTGTTATTAATGGGTTTCCGGGGCTCCGGTTCGAAGTGCAGGAGTTCAAGAACGGGGTGGTTTTTACTTAGTAAGAATCTGACACTCCCTCTACCCTCACCCGTGCGGGAAATGTGGATGATTTTCCTCCTCCAAAAAATAAAGGTAATAAGTTGCCAATATGTTACTCCAGACCATAGTCTACCTCTGTTCTAAATTACATCTTGGTCCCTTCGACCGTTTGGACGTTATTGAGTAACACACAAACTCACAAATTTTCACGTTTATAATGTGTGTGCGATCTCTGTGTCAGTCCGCTGATATAATAGCGTTACAGGAGACCTGGCTTTTACCTCATGACATCACGTTCCTGGGCACGATCGACAAAGAATTTGCATTTTATGGCACTTCCGCGGTCGATACATCGGCAGGCATTCTACGTGAAAGACCGTTTGGTGGTGTGGCCATATTGTGGCGTAAAAGTGTATTCCCTATGGTGTCTGTGATTGAGTGTAAAAGTGCGCGTCTAGTAGCTATTAAAGTTACTATGGAGGAGCGGTCGTGTTTAATATTTTCAGTCTACATGCCAACTAACTCGCCTGACAACCTGGCAGAGTTCACCGACTGTCTTGGTGAGATTAGTGCTATCACTGACTCATGTAATGTGGAGGCTATATTTGTACTGGGTGATTTTAATGCAGGTCCTGGCGAGTTATTTGGTGTGGACCTGAACAGTTTCTGTGTAGATCAGCAATGGTCATGTGTGGATCTGGAGATGCTGGGCCGTGACTCAGGCACATACACATATGTAAGTGACGCACACGGAAGCGCGAGCTGGATTGTCCACTGCGTGGTCAGCTGCGCCGCGCGACAGTCTGTTGTGAGCGCTGAGGTACTGTACAATGTTTACTGGTCTGACCACTTGCCTTTACAACTGCACTGTAATTTTAAAGTTTTGCAGCCTAAAACGGTAATAAAGAACGATACATGTAATAAGGTGCTGTGGGGTGAGAAAGACGAAAATCAAATTGCTATGTAAACTAGATATTGTACAAAGGGACTAAGAGATATAGATTTCCCACCAGAATTTTCAAACTGTAGTGATTCCATGTGTAGTGTTGCTGACCACAGAATTATTATAAATAAATTGTATAGTAGCATTGTTTCAATATTGAGTGACTCAGCGGAAAAAAGCTTTGTTGTAAAACAATATTCCAAGAAAGGTAGCTTACCAGGTTGGAATAAACATGTAAAGGAGGTTCACGGGGAGGCTAGGGCATGGTTTCGGCTGTGGGTGCAAAATAATAGGCCGTCGTCTGGATTGAAATGAAATGATGCCAGGATAATCAAAGTCGAATTAAAATGGAAATAATTGCCACTCATCATAAATATAAAATTTTTTCTAAATTCTGGAAGCAAACCAATAAGTTGGACCCAGGACCGAGCATCCCCGTGAGTGTAGCGGGTGTTAGCGACCCTGCCCAGGTTGCCAATATGTTTAGGGACCATTTTAGAATGGAGTCCCCGCTAGGAGCTTCGGTTACTAGTGGGCCTGTGTCGGCCGGCGGCTTGCTTGGAGACGTCGACGTCGTGGGGTTTAGCGCTGGGGAGGTGAGAGCGATGATAGGGAGCATGACTAAAGGAAAATCTCCCGGGCACGACCATCTCAGTGTTGAGCACCTGCAGCATGCAGGTGTTCCTTCAAATTACCTCACAAATATATAAACTAGGCAGCGTTAAAATTTTAAGGTTTTTTAAATGGGGCTTACAGCTATCAGACTGATTTATTTTGCAAATACTCCTAACACACTTTTTCTGCGCTAGAAACACACGTTGTTTATCTGTCGATGTCTGTATGATAACAACTCTATTATGTATCTACCTGTGATCTACAATGAATAAATAAATTTGAATTTGATTTTGAATTCGAGTTCCCCAGAAGAGGACACCGTACCTCAATATAGATCCCACATATCCATGGTAGGCCGTAAGTACCGTTGATTGACTAGCTACTTTTGAGAGCATTCGTAAAGCATAGGATTGTTGGTAAAGTTTCTGGCAAAGGTTATCAATGTGATCTTTCCAATTTAAGGTACAATCTATTGTCAGTCCTAAAAATTTCGTTGTGTCTACTTCTGTAATTTCTGTTCCCATATACCTCTAGTTAATATTAAGATTAGTAAGCATTGGTTTTCGATTTCTAAGTGTCATTAGGTGTGTTTTGTTTAGATTTATTTTTAAATTATTGGATGTCAGCCATAGTATTATATTATTAAGAGTATTAATTATGTCAAGTTTAAGTGCGTGTATATCCCTACTAGCAAAAATAAATGTACTGTCATCCGCAAACAATATGCTAGGTTGGGTGTATATTTGTGGTAAATCATTTATATAAATATTAAACAGTAGTGGCCCTAATACACTACCTTGTGGAATACCCACTTTAACCTCTCTATAAGCGGATGAGTGTTGTTTCTGTATTCTTAAATTTGCGTCTAAACGGCTTATTCTGGTGTATTGTTTTCGACCATCAAGATAGGATTTGACAAGATTAAGTACATTTCCTCTCACGCCGCATGCTTGTAGTTTATTAAGAAGAATTTGATGATCTACACAATCAAATGCCTTTGAGAGATCCATATAAAGCGCACAAACGGGTGTCTTCTTATCAACGTGGGTAATAATATTTTCGAGGAAATTATAAATTGCAGCATTTATGCATTTATTCTTCCTAAAACCATATTGCTCTTTGGAAAGTATGTTATGCTTCTCAAAGAAAGTGTAAAGTCTGTCATGTATAACCTTCTCAAAGATCTTAGAGATAGTGGGAATCAACGCAATGGGTCTATAACAGGTCATTGATGACTTATCATCTTTCTTAAAAAGAGGTTTTATAATTGTTATTTTTAATTTATCAGGGAAGACTCCATCTGCAATGCATAAGTTGATTATATAGCTCAGTACATTCGATATTTTAGACGATACGTATTTTAATATCACTGTGGATACGTCATCATAACCTGTACTGTTAGTGTTCTTTAGACTGGTAATCATGTCAAACACTTCCCTTGGGAATGTATAAGGTGTCATATATAATGAATTTGGGATATTTCGTGGCTAAATATTATTACTATTATTATTGGAATTAAACTGTGTTACCTGGTCAATAAAAAAAATATTAAAAGAATTTGCTATAGTCTTAGGATTTGTTATAATAAGTGAATTGTCAATTTTAATGTCAGTTATTTGATTTGTAGGTGCGTTGTATTGCATATTATTAATAATTCTCCAAGTCGCTTTGCACTTGTTACTAGAGTTGCATATATATTCATCGTTTTGAGACTTCTTTGTGGATTTTATTATCCTGTCTAACCTAGCCGCTAAGGTTTTAAAATTTGTTTTATTTGTTAAAGTACGCGACCTTCGGTATTGCCACAAATATTCTCGTTTGCGTTTACAGCAAAGTTTAATACCCTTTGTTATCCACTTTGGACGTTTTCGAGCATTTATTTTTACAAAGGAGAGTGGAAAACATAAATAATAGAAGAGAGTGAAAGTTTCATAAAAAATATTAAATGCTTTAAGTGCGTCATTTTCTTCAAAAACTTCATTTTAAGAGAGGGAATTTATGTATTCTTTGAATTTACGAATATTTTCCTGGCTGTAATCTCGTTTCTCTATAAACCAATTTGCTAAAATACATTTACGCTTTACTGGGCAAGTTAGTAATTGAGCCGTATGGTCTGAGAGAGCAAACTCAAGTATTTTAGATTTGCAACCATGGATGGAGTGAAGAAAATTATCAATACACGTACCGCTTATTGTACGAGTAGCTTCAGTAAAAGCCCACTTTAGATTATAACTTGATACAGTGAGTAGAAAATCAGATGATAATCTATTCTTTTTCAGAATGTCAATATTAAAGTCCCCACAAATTATAACTTTACATTTAGGTCGGCAAAATTGGCTTAGCAATAAATTAAATTTTTCGAAGAACATTTTTATGTCTTCATGATTAGGTTTAGGTGGTCTATATACGCATAGCACAAGAATTTTATGATCAACAAGTTGCACTCCAGAAACCTCGATTATACACTCAATGCATATACTTTTTAGACCATTGACAACTTTAAATTTATGGGCATTACGGACTAAGATACAGCTCCCGCCGCGTCTAGTTTGACGTGTAAAACAGGAGGCCAGTGAGTAGTTGGGAAGAGTTAATAGCTTCATGTCACTAGTTATCAGGTTGTGCTCAGTCACACACAAAACATCAATCAGACATGTTTCTTTTTCAAGTTTATCTAGAGATATTGACAATAAATCCATCTTTGCTAAAAGTCCATTAATATTCTGGTGTAAAATATACAGATTATTGCACACGAAAAAGGTCGCTGATTCGTTCCGAACATGCGTTATCTTTACTAATATATTTTTGATTTGTTATTTTTTTAAAGTAATATGGTATAGTACCAGGCTTATAGTTGCTAACACGGTTACCATTAGTGTTTGAGTGTGGTGGCAAAGATTCGATAGAAGTAATGTATTGTTTCAAATTGTTAAATATGTTAAACAAGCCATTATTATTTATTTTGCCAGTGTATTTACAGAACATATTAGGGTAGGGTGGTAGCCTATGAACCGCGTGTACACTATGAACCATAGTACCTACCGGCCATACCCAACGTTGCCAGCTCGCGCAAAAAACATGTCAGCACTCGCTTGCCACGTCGTGAAGTTTGATCCAGTCGCCGCGCGCTTGTCGCGACATACGCACGCGTGAGTCGCGTCTTTGTGTTTACTCAAGCAAAAACGACGAAAAAAACGTGAGTTTCTTTTTGTAATTCCTTAATAATCTAACTCTTATTTAAGTATGTGTTAATTTGCATGTGTAAAGTAGGTCTTTAGGCTTGTTTGAGACTAGTTTTTGGAATTCATTCTCAACGTTTTTTATATAAAACATAACCTAACATTTTCTAAGAGGGGGTGGGTACGCTGTGAGCCATTTATCCTGGGTAAGCAACGAACCACGGTTCATTGTGTACCACATCTAAATGTTTTGTATTATGCAATACATATAAACAGGTGGGAAGTATTATTCCAGACAACCTCTAAATTTTAATGGGAGTAGGTATAATCAATTAATCAATATTTGTCTATTTCAGCATGGGACGAAATACGGTTGGAAGGGAAGCTCGTAAAAAGGGGTATCACACCGCGGAAGCCATACAAAGAGGTATAGAGAAACACTTGTCGGGATTAAGCATTCGAAAAGCAGCCAAAGACTGTAACCTTCCTTATCCAACACTGCGAAGGTACGTCACAAAATACAGGAACAATCCGTCGTGTAGACTAGAGCCCCATTATGATGCAAGTAAAATTTTTACTGACCAACAAGAAGACAGCATAAAGGAATATTTGTTGGATTGTGCAAATAAATTCTATGGCCTAACTTCTAAAGACTGCCGCAGAATTGCATACCAACTGGCAGTGATAAACAAAATCGAAATGCCACCATCATGGAAAGTTCATGAAATGGCAGGCCGAGATTGGATGAGGGGGTTTAGGGCAAGACATCCTGAATTGACTGTGAAAAAACCCGAGCCTTGTAGTATAGCAAGGGCTACAGCATTTAATAAAATAAATGTGCAAAATTTTTTCGACAACCTTAAAGAAGTTTTAAGTCGCAATCCATCATTTGCAAATGGCAGCCGAATATATAATCTAGATGAAACCTCGACCACAACAGTGCAACGTCCACATAAAGTGCTGGCAGCTAAAGGACGCAATGTCTGTAAAGTCACAAGTGGGGAGCGCGGAATTTTGGTTACCACTTGCTGTATTGTAAATGCGATTGGTCAGGCCTTACCTCCAGCTATGGTATTTCCACGAAAAAATTTTAAGGCACACATGCTGTATGGGGCACCCCCAGGAACACTTGGGCTAGCCGCACCCAGCGGTTGGATGAATACAGAATTATTTGTTGAAGTAATGAAGCATTTCATCCAGGTTATTTGCTTATTTGTTTGCTATTAATATTTGTAGGTACGCAATCGACAAGTTTATTTTGATTTGTCTATTTGTTTCAGTTCACTTCAGCATCGACCGATAACCCAGCTTTGCTTATTCTAGATAATCACGAGAGTCACCTGTCTATAGAAGCTCTAGATCTAGCTAAAGCCTCAGGTGTAACTGTCCTTACGCTTCATCCTCATACCACGGCTAGACTGCAACCTCTGGATGTTGGATTAAATGGTCCATTCAAGTCTTTTTATAATTCAGCAATAGACTCGTGGTTATTACGTAATCCAGGAAAAAATTTAAGCATTTATAATGTTGCTGAATGCGTAGGTATAGCATATATGAAAGCTATGACTCCAACAAATATAACACAAGCGTTCAAAAAATGTGGTATTTTCCCATTTGACGATCAAATATTCACAGATATTGACTTTTTACCAAGTGAGATAACTAATAGACCACCACCAAATGTAATAGATGTAGAGAAATACCCTGATGATGTTGGACGTTGTGGGTCACCATCTATATTGACACCAGCTATTTACAGTGACGATGATGAAACTGATGCAGAAATTGAGAACATTATGGAAGAATTACCCTATAACAAACCTTTACCATCCACTTCATATCACACACCATCGACATCCGAGGTTCACATTACGCCGCAAGCAGAAGTTTCCGCTGCTATAACGGATGATCGCGAATCAAACTATATTTTTCAGTCTCAAGTGATGTCTAGTCCCAATATTGTAACTCAAGAGATTGCATCTTGTTCCAAAGAAACATCCCAGCCGACTGCATCCACGTCCAGAGTTCAGATTTCATCTGAAATAAAAACTAGTTCTCCAAAAATGTCAGGAGGTTCCAATAACTTTATTTCACCAAAGATTTTCAGGCCACCATTAAAAGCAGGACCTCGTAAGACTATCAAAAGAAAACTAGGAAAGAGTATGATAGCTACTGACACACCCGAGAAGAACGCTTTAGCTGAAAAGAAACAAAATAAAGAGAAGAAGAAGAAATTAGCAAAAGTAGTGAAAACAAAGCTTTTTGAAAGCATTAAGAGAGAACAATCAGATACATCTGACGACGAAGAGTTCATTTGCAGTGGCTCATCTTCTGGAGGAGATTTTTTTATTGAATCCGATGAGGAAGAGATTATCTTAAATGACAACTTCTCTCCATTATCGAGGAAACCTCGACCTGATGACTACGTTATTGTGGCATTCAATATAAAAAAGTTAAATGTTTTCTACGTGGCACAAATCTTAGAAGAGCTGGAGGAAGAAGACGGCGATTATTATGTATCATTTTTCAAATTAAAAAGCAAAATTACACAAACATTTTCGCTACCACTTGAACCAGACACAGCAGCTGTGAATAAGACAGATATAAAATACATTTTACCTCTTCCCAACATTAATGGCACGGTTCGTCGACAAGCAACATACAAATTCCCTATCGATATGTCCCTACTGAACTTGAGATATTAACGTCTTGAGATAGTAACGATTTTTGATTTTGATCTCTTTCATGAACAATTAGCATTTTAGAAGACATTTTAAGTAATTTTTATTGTTATGTTGATTTTTTTTTACATTTAGAAACTTGTTATGTTGATCTCTCGTGAGCATACTATGACTGAGAACGAGCGAACTGATAGTTCCTATTTTTACTTAGTGCTAAGTACAATTTGTGATTTATAGATTAAGACTGATTGTGATAAAAACATAAGTGATTTTATAAATGTTCTGATGATTCTATTAATATTAATAAGTAAGTACAAACTGTTTTTTCTTATTTAGGTAGAGTTTATGCGTAACAAAACTTTCAAAAAGTTTATGATTATTGTTAAAAAGTAAGTTTTAAGACTGATTATGAGGTTTTTATATAACCAGAAACTTAATAAATATAGAAACTTATAAATGTTGTATTTATTTTACATTTGAAACAAACAATTACCGGTCTTTATCTTACCGTGATTCATTGTGTACCACCTGGTTCATTTAATACCACCCCCCTAGTTCATTGTGTACCCTTAGGAGTACGCTATGAACCATTTCCCTTGTTTTAAAAAAATCTGCATAAATTAGGCAACAGCAAATATTTTCCACATGTTTTAACGCAATTTGGCAGCTTATTAAATTACCTATCTTCTGAGATAAAAATATTTTGTTAGACTGTAAAAACGAGTGTTCTAGCGCTCTTCAAACTTTAGGTGGTTCAATGGCTACCACTCCATATGAATATTCTATACATTTATTTGTATCAAAAAAGTAGGTATTTTTAAAATTACTCACACACAACAATTGGTTGAAGGCTTCTATTCTTCTATTAAATAAAACAATGTTATGGAGTTTAAAATTTGGGACACATAAAATTATATTAGTATGAGTGATTTTATCCACTCTCGATTTTAAGTAGTTAACGAGATCTTTGTAGTTACGAGAGACTTCAAAATCTCTTTCTCCTAGAAAAATTATACAGTAATCTTTCAGAGTATAGTTTGTAAGTTTTATATCAAGTGTTGACAAAAGTTCAACTGTGTTCGCATTTGGTAGGCAATAGTGACAGATATCAGAGTTCGGAAAAATATTTATCGCATTTTCTAAAATATTATTTGTGTTATTTTGACTTAGCACGAATAATTTATTTCGGTATGTTTTATTTTTGCAGCCTTTCATCAATATGTCTTTATTTTTAAGATAAGTGGCGCCCTCTGTGTAATTAGCCAGTTCATTGTCGGACGTCCTGTTGATAGATGGCGTTATATTCATATTCTTGTTGATCTGTGGTGACTTCTCAGTGGTAATAGTTTGAATTCCTTTACTTAGCATTATTTTGTTGGAAACATTTGTTACATTGGTCAATGGTGATTTATTCAATGTATCGTTGAAACCTTCACAGCAATGTTTTTTATTTTTGTTAGGCGTTTTAATTTCCTGTAACGGTGACATTTTTTTTTCTGGTAGGGGTTGAACATATTTTTTTGAATGTGTTACTTGTTTTTATCATGTATTGTAAGTCCGTTTTTAGTCTAAAATTTTCCATGTTTAAGTTTTCAATTTCTTGATGAGCACTTGATAATTCTTTCTTAAGAGTTTTTATTTGTTCATTCAGGTCTTTTATTACGTTACTATTATCGGTTAAGCTATCTGGAATGCTCAGCATCGTTGTATCGACTATGGATTTGTCACTATCATTCATAGTACTGGATAAGTTAGTTAACGAACTTGACCTACCAGTTTTACGAAATGTAATATTATCGTTGAACGAGTCCATTCTAAATATTTTTACCTCTACCCTCTAGTGATCGTTTTTTCTTTGTCCTGTGTATGACTTTTAGCTATACTCTACACACCGTAGATGATTTCAAGGTGTAATGGAACCAGTATCTAAGTTAAGCTACGCTTATTATGCTAGATTTATTTGTCGCCTTCTTATTGGTCGACATTAATCGGTTTGTCAGGTCTTGTTTGTTTACATGCAAACTATTGAACACAACAGTCCTATATACACAAAAAATCACCTGTTTTCATTCCGTATCGTCGCAATATAACCGCTTGTTGCTCTGTTTCCGCTGTTGGTTTGCTCACTGTTTAGTTCACTGTAAGTTTTTATGACGAAACGTTACGAAAACACGTATACCCGATCACTGGGGATGTGTTCACTTGTGTTCGTCATTCTTACTTGCCGGTCGAGATGATGAAGACGCTTGTAGTGCCCATTCTTAAAAATAAGACTGGTGACGCTGCGGATATAAATAACTATTGGCCAATATCTCTGGCCACTATAATGACCAAGGTGCTGGACGGTCTGCTTGATCGGCATTTGGACAGGCACCTAAAGCTTCATGATGCCCAGTTCGGTTTTAGACCTGGGCTTTCTACCGAATCTGCTATTCTGTGCCTCAAGCAGACGGTCCAATACTACACAGATAGGAATACACCTGTATTTGCGTGTTTTTTGGACCT